CCTGTCGGCAAGGGGAGGTGGCGAGGCAGCGGGGAGCATGGAGGGTGAGGTGTCTGACGTGGGGGTCTGCAATCTGGCCTATGCCGGGCGTCTGGAGGAGCTGCGGGACCAGCTGCTGCGCGACAGGGCCCTGGCCGCCGTGACCGACCAGGTCAGCCAGTTGCGGCGCTCTCTGCCTGCCGGGGCGAGAACGGGCGGCCTGTGGGGCCGCTCCCCGCGCAGCGGCTCCCGTCAGGCGCCTCCCTGTCCCCTCCCTCCCCCCTTCCCGCCTCCCGCTCACCGCAGCTCCCTCCCTCCTTCAGGACAACCGGACCGCGCTGCACTGGGCCTGCTCGGCGGGACACACGGACGTCGCCAGCCTTCTCCTCAGCCTCGGCGTGCCTGTGAACGATAAAGACGATGTGAGTGTCGCAGCCCTCCTGTTGTCAGGAGTTTTCATGTTCTTTTTATCTCTGTGTCATCCTCTTAAATAGATTGTGCCAAATCATGAGGTACCCAAAGATTCCTCATTGCTCTGGAAGGTGTCATAGAGCAGGTGACGGGCTCGGTGATTTCACAGTTGCAAATGAGATGGTCTGTTACTTTTCTTGAGGAAGGGTTGAAATCATTGCATCAATTAGAAGCGTTCTAAAGATCATCCTTAAAGAAGGAAATGTCCCATCTGTTTAATTCGAGGGTGGAATATGGAAAAGATTGCATAAACTTTTGAACAGCCTTTTCTGCCACTCTTACTTGATTTTAAAAAAACACTATGGTTAATTTTGCAGGGGCAAAGTGCCCTGCAAGATACCATGCACAACTGCGTAGCAGAAGTGATTTCTGTCGTTTAATCGTCAGCCTTTGTCAGGGACTGAAAGAGGGTAGGCGAGGGGACACGAGCCTTGTCTCTCTGGTTATAATCAGTAACACTTAGCTTTATAGTTACAGGAGTATGTGGACCAATTGGTAGTCAAGTCAGTATTAGGGTTCTGCTTTGTCATGTTTGTTCGGGGTTGGTTTTTTTTTTGCCTGAAGCTCCTGGTTTGAATAACGTGGGTTTTTTCTTCCCTAGGCTGGTTGGACTCCCTTGCACATTGCTGCTTCAGCGGGCCGTGATGAAATTGTGAAAGCCCTCATTGCCAGAGGTGCTCATGTGAACGCTGTCAATCAGAACGGCTGTACGCCCCTGCATTATGCAGCCTCCAAAAATAAGCAGGAGGTATGTTTGCCTGTGCTACATAGGAGGAGGTGATGTTGCTCTTGGAAGAAGTATTTAATTACACTGACTTTTCCTCCTCTTCCCCCTCTCCTCTCTCTTTCTACATATTCAGATTGCAGTCATGCTTTTAGAGAACAAAGCTGATCCGGATGCAACAGATCATTTTAAATCTACACCGTTACATAGAGCAGCAGCCAAAGGAAACCTGAAAATGGTGCAGATCCTTCTGCAGCACAATGCATCTGTTGATATACAGGACTCTGAAGGGAATACTCCTCTGTAAGTAATTTATTACTTCTGTTTGGCTTAATATAGCAGAATCTCTATGAAATGAAACTGTTACGTCAATTTAGTTTTAATTTCTTGTTACCTCAAAATACTCCCTTGCTTCACAGTCCTACGTAATTAAAAAGGATTTGAGAAAATCATATACTTAGTATTTTGCCTAAGTGTGTCTGTCTATAATTATTTAATTTGTGTTACTACAGCTACATAAAAAGTGTGAACACCTTTTGTAATCATTTGGAATACATTCAGTTGCCACTAGAGGGTAGAAAGTGAGCTAATGACGTCAAAGTCAGAGGAAACTGGTCTTGCAGGCTGGCCTACTCTGTCCTGCCAAGTATGAACTAAGTTTGGAAGCTTTTCTTCACCTCTCTAAGGAAAATAAGTTGCAATTTAAGTACAATCAGTCCAGTGTTTGATATTACCTTAGAGATCGATTTGAATCTGTAAGGGTGAAACCTTAGCTGCTTTGAAGCTGGTAGCAAAACTTTGCCTTGTCTACAGTGGAATCGAGATTTTGCCATGAATAAGATCAAGCAGTATGTTTTACCTGTACATAAAACCCAGTGTTGTCCTGAAACACACACGTTTATTCTCAAGATACTATGCCAAATGGAAAAGAGCATTTGCAGTAACTCTTCAGATTATTTTTAAGCATCGTATGATTTAGTTCTATCATTTTCACTCCTAATAGATTACCGTTTTCCAATTTTACTGTGGATTATGTGTTCTGTAGCTTTGCTGAGTGCATAGTCAAATCCTCATGTAAAGAAGTGTCTTAATCTTGCAAGGACAGTAGCAGGAGGAACATTATTGGGTTGCTTAAGGACAGCAGAGTGACTGGACAGCAAGCTTAGGAATCTGTGTAGGTAGTTGGTGGTGTGCGGTTTTGTTGTTCTAGGGTGTATCTGCCCCCCCAACGTTCATGGTGTCATTTTGACAAGGCATAATGATTGCTGTTCATAAGCTTGGAGTGTTTTAATAGTGGCTGTGGGTTTCTTGTTCTTGTTGCAGTCATTTAGCCTGCGATGAAGAGCGAGTGGAGGAGGCAAAGCTGCTGGTGTCTCACGGTGCAAGTATTCACATTGAGAATAAAGAAGAATTGACACCACTGAAAGTGGCAAAAGGGGGCCTGGGAGCCACGCTTAAAAGGATGGTGGAAGGCTAGTGGGGACTTCTGGCTCTCCTGGCTCTCTTTCCTGTTTCACTTGTATTTAAGACTGCAGACTTAAATATTTTGATAGTTCAACTAGAATGTCGTGTGGATCTCTAGCTTTCCCTCAAGTACAGTGCCAAAACAACTTGTTTGGACTTCCTGATAATTAAACAGTTTGCTGTTTTTAAAGTATTTTTCAATATCTTGCCGTTTTCTTTCCGTTTACAGTATGATCTGTATAAGTGCAGTCTTTCCTTCTGTTTCAGAACCTAGTTTAGGATTACTTACTTCAAAGAAGAGGACCAAAAATGCTTTAACCATTTAAAGTCAGTTTTATTTTGGAAACTTACTCTAGAGCCTTTGTTTTTTTCCTTTAGCCTTTGTGCATTGTGTGTGGGATTTTTTGTGATTTTTGGGTACTGATTTCCTTCAGATGGTTCTAAACTACACCATTCCCTTTGGGCAATGCCATATGCTCAGTTACTAGATAATTGTATCCGTTTTTACTCTTCTTGCTCTGTTCAAGCGAGCTCCGAGTGTCTGAAGCTTTTCTGTTGTTACTCATTGTTGTCCTGCTTCTTTGAATCTTTAAATACATGTGTTTGATGAAGTACACTGGACTGCTTGCAGAAAGCAGGTGCAGTTTCCGAGTTACCTCTGCAAATACCACTGTTGCATAACGGATGGCTCTGGATACTTCTCTGTGGTGTACTTTGAGCCTAATGTTATTTCCTCTTGCTCCTTCTGTAGATTTCTTTTTCTGTTCTGTTTACCATCTTATTTTATAACAGGAGCGTGGCTTAATCTCTATTTAGGCATAGCAAATCCTGGTACTAAGTTACTAGAAGACAGAGTTAATGAGACTGACTCTGAGAAGTGACCTGTTCCGATGTTGCTAAGATCACGTTTGACACCAGTGGGATAGATTTCTCCTTTCTGAACAAACAATGCTGGTGAAATGCTGTGAAATAAAGAACCTTCCTAAAGAGCAGTACTTTGGTGTTATAAAACTTTATTAAACTTACATGTCACAAAACCAGTATTTTCTAAATAGCTTGTTCACTTGGGATGTGAACAACAAGTCAGATGAAACCCTGCCATCCATTACAGTGTGGAAATAGAAGTGTTTGTTCTTCAGCTGCAAGGAGAGGTTGAGATGGAAGGTGACAGTTTCTACAGTTTGACTGGTAGGGATTAAGGTGATGCAATTCATTTTGATAAGCAACACAGGAACTTATAACCAAGTATATCTTCACCAGGTATTTTAAGTCTATCCTAGAAAGCAAAATGCAGGTTAAATTTCACTGAGAGAGCAGGGAGGATAACTTGCCTGCACAGTAAACTCTGGCCATGCAGACTTTGTTTGAAGGAGAAACCTGACTGAGTCAATGTTTCTTATGTATTGTGCAGGCACTGCCGAAAATTTGAATTGAGAAGAGCTGAAGTTGGAATTCTGTGTTCATCCTTGATCTCTGTGTGGCAGAAAACCCCTGCCACAGCCCTGTGGCTTTGTGAATCCACTTCCCTAGTTGGTGGCTTGAATCTTCGCTTAATATCTGGTTTCTGTATTCATGATCCCTACTCCCTCAGGAGAAGATAAATGGGCCATGCAGCAAAGGCTGTCGGAACAGCTGGGGCAAATTCTGAAAAATGTTTCTGCATCCTGCATAGCTCTGCAGAGGTTTTGAGCTACACACCCTGTAATTAGATTGATACCTGATTTGGCTTGTGCTTTACCAAGAGCATCAGTGGAAAGCCAAGGACAGTGGCCCATCCTTTTTAATAAACTGTTTTACGTGAGAGAAATTTAATAATGAGAACAAACATTTGTCAGAAGGCTGGCATGTTAAGAAACTCCAAATAAATGTTATTTTCCTTACCTTCCTACTCACCCCCAGCAATCTGTTTTGCTGCTTATTTTTACTTTTGTTGTGTTTTTTTTATATACTATCTATTACACACTGGTGGTTAGAAGTCTGAGAGGAATTATTAGTCTAGAACTTGTGTTCAATTGTTCTTTTTATATTAAAACATTAACATCACTTGAGCAATTTCTACTTTTCTTAGCAGTGTAAGACCTGTGGTGGTCTAGGAGGATTGTGTTGGCTGTAGAAGGTAATTAAAACTTCACCAGCATAAGCTCCTATCTTAGCGTAGCAAGTTATATAAGGAATACATGCAGGGAAATTTGTGGTGGTGAGATCAAGTAAAGATTAAAAATTACAACAATCATCTAATATATTTCCCTTTTCAATCACAATAGTGCTGTTACAGAGATGGGAAAGTTGGAAAGCTCTTGCAGTAAGAAAAGTGTGACTAAGACACATATATACAGGAGATGACTTTAGCAGAACCTATACAACTACAGCAGTGTCCTGAAGAGAGTTGTTTATATTTTCCCATGAAGGGCAAGAGTAAAAGAATGCCTAGGAATGTCAGAGAAAAAAATACTTAATGCCACTGTGAGCCATGTCATGGGCTCCCTTGGACCAGTAATTGATTTGAATTATCTCATGAGGAAACACCTTTGGCAAGCAATGGCACCCAGACAGGACTATGTAGTACTCTCTCATCTCTTGCTGTTACTGAGCGTGCTTACAAAATGCTGGGTGTGAATATAAGAGCTTTTCAGTAAGCTTCTAAACCTAGACTGAAGGGTGTGAGTTTGCGGGTTTTGCTTGGCAAAATTGCCACAAGAGTCAACAAAAGAGATGCCGGATTCAGAAGAGACTTCCATATACAGGTCATGACTTCAGGTTTACCCTGGTTTTTCTGGGGAGAGAGGAGTTTGAGGATCCGCCCGTAGAATATAGCAGCGTTGGTATGAGTAAGGGTTTGACCCTCACAGTCCAGCATAAGCAGTTTTTAGCTAAAACAATATTGTAAGGACACTGTAAATGCTCTTTTACTCTGCAGTGAGGCTAAACAGTAGGACACACGTATCAAAGACAAATACTTGAAAGCCAGAGAACTGGATAGAAAGGGCAAAGAATACAGCTACACTTAATGATCCAAATTAAATCTTAATTAGGACGTCATGCTTTACATCTTTAAATGTTGCCATCTTTTCTCTTTCTTTTTTTGGTGGTCACTTTCTTCATCAACATACTTACAGATGTAGGAACTGAACCTGAACATTTTAACACGATTGTATCCTTATATCTATTTTAAAGATGTCGGTTGCATAGAATTAATGTTCACAGGCTAGAAACAGTCACCAGAGGATTTATGAACATTAGGTCCTATAAAAAAACTTAAGTGCCAAAAAGTTACAGAACCCTGAGCCGCACACTCTTCTACAGTGCCACAGGACTAAAACCTTGTGTCAGTGAGTGTCTGCCTCATGTCGTGCAGAAGGGAGCTGCTGAGGCTGTGTATCTGTATTCACCTGAGCCCCATGGTCCTTGAGCTTTTCTGAAGGTTGGTATCTTTGCCCTTTTGAAGAGCTGAGTTTGCTTAACGTCAGAAATAAGGCCCGGAGAGAAGAGGTATCTAGTGATCAGTGTATGTGGTTCAATTCCCTTTTCTCCTTCCAAGAGAGTGCCTGTTACTCAGCTGTTGGCTATTGGTGTGCGTGCACCTTTCCTCTTAATGCCTTCACCTGTAGAAAGTCAGTTACACCGGGCTAAGGAGACCAGCAGAAAAGGAGCATGAGTTTGCTGCTCAGTGGGTAGAACAGTTGCCCGGAAATAGATTTAAATAATCTCAGGCAGAAGCTGCAATCAAAACTAGTGTATTGTATAGTAGGCAATATTCACTTCTAAGTTTTGAAAGCAGAATCTGCATGTCATGAGGAAGCTGATACTCTGTGTGCCTGTTACAACAAGCCTTACAAGGGATTTAGATTTCCAGCTCCTCTTGTCTGGAAATCAGTCAATATCTGAGCAGGGTACCTGGATACCGGTTCCCTTAAACTGAAAACCAGAACTGCTGAAACACACGACGTGAATGCTGGTCCCTCGGCGATGTTAAAGCCAACAAGGTTGACGTTAACAAAATATATTCCATGTCAGGCAGCAACAGGGTAAAAGTTTCCAGGATCAGTTTTTTTTAGATTTAGGTGAAATTCAGATACGCAAGATTTCATTGCTCCAGGTCTTAACATCTGTTTCTGCACTCTGATGACATTGAGGAAACGTCTTTTTACTTCCAACGTGCGAAATCAGATCCTTTAAACACCGCAGTGTATTGGCCATGGTGATTATTGGTGGTGCACGGGAAACATGAGGTTAGCCAACACTTTCTGGAGAAGATGCTGCGGTTCAGAACTGTGTGGATACATACGGCATTACTGACCTGTTGGCTGGAAAGCTTTTACTTTGTCAAATGCTTCAGCCCATTTCCTAATTAGCTTTGCAAAATAGGTTGGATAAATGTGGATGATAGTCTTTTTATATTTATGTACAGTTATAACTAGATAGTAAATGAAATTTAGTTAACTTTAAAGGCTCAATCTTCTGCTATTCACGAAGTGTATGTGTAACAGACCCTATTCAGTCTCCAGCCCAGTGGTTAACAATACAAATGCCCATTTAAGTTTTAGTCATGCTTCTATGTTAATTCAATGACAACTTTTTTTTTTTATAAAAGGGTCCAAAGCTGAGAAGGAAAACTGTATTAAAACTCTAGGCTGTTTCTTCTTTTTCTGCTTCTTGCTTCTCATTATTTTCAGGTGTTCCAGAGGCTGCTTTTTCCTCAATGCTAGTGTATTCATTTGTCACAGTGCTTGATGGAACTGTGCTTGCAGGAACGTTTTCTTCACTGGGTACCTGAGCATACTCTGCATTGGATTGTTTCTGGGTCATTTCTCTGCAGGAAGACAGGATGAGGATTGTGATTTATCATGTTGAAATCCCATCTACGCTAGAGGCTTTCCAAAGAAGGAGTATTTGTGGCTTTGTTGTCTAAGCAGTAACCCCCATACTATTCTGACTCTGTTCCAAGAGCACCTGGAAAGGCTACAACATCACTGCTGGTAAGACAGAGCGTGACCGTGTTAGATAACAAGACTGATGTGCATTACTGGTTTAAGTGATCCCGTTAGAATAAAATCGATTTTGGCATATTTAAATGCTATGCCAGGAAAGCAGAATGGGAAGCTGAGTGCTGGCAAACAGCGTCTGCAGGGGGGTAGCGAAACACTGCTTGGCGTGAGCTTTCTGGGAAATTCCATGCAGACCTGGTGTCCCATTCAAGTGTGTGAAAAATGGAGAGCATTCAGAAACGAGCTATAAAAAGGCTGAAATCTAGAAAAATCTTTTTAGTAACAAGTATAAATTCAATTTATCTTATTAGTACGATGATAAATTAACTCCTGATATTGAAGTGCTTTCACATGTAAAAAAAAAAATCAGATGCTAGTGGATTAATTCAATGTAGTAAGATTTATTAGGATCTGAGCACAAAATTAAATATTAATGCTACATCAATTGAAAGCAGAAATCAGGTGCATGAGTGAGTGGCCACTGTTCTGGATTAGCAGAATTCTGCATCAGGAAATCTCAGACCTGTGCTATAGGGAGGTGTCCAGATGACGTTTTTTCTATTTTCTGGCCTTAGCTACCTGTATTAATTTAGCACTTAACATCATAGGGCTAAAATACAGTCTGTATAGCATATCAGATTAACCCTGTTCTGAAGATCTGGCAATTTAAGGGGAAAATAAGCAAGCAAAGCACAGAGGAAAAGACAATTCCAGAGCAGGATCAAAATGGACATTTTGGCCAAAACCTTGTGTTTGCTGCCATTGGAGATGCCTTAGAGTATCCCAAGCATGTGTCCTGTAATTTCAAGTAGCACTCAGCTGAGCATTCTGTGTTTAAATCCAGTAACATACAATCCCAGTAAATTTGCCGAGGCAACCCATGGCTGCTATTCTTTTTTCTACTTCCTCCACCTGCCATTAACAGTCACGTTAACTTGAAATATTAAAAACTGTTTTTCCAACTTGCCACTTTTAGTTTGTGTTATTTAAAAAACATTTCCTATTTTAGATAGTGCTAAGTGGTAGCTGATTATTAACGGAGAGAAGAGGGTAATGGCAACTTCTGTTACAAGAGCAACTTTCTCTGGAAGTTTTCTCAAAACCTGTACTATTTACCTTTCAAACAGTGTTTAGTCTAATCACATTTTACTTTAGTTCTGGATTATGAGCAGTGCTTTACAGAAATAATTGTCTTAAAATGAAGGAAACAGAAACTCTTACTGCATTTCATTACTTGACTTCTTAGTCTTTGTCCTCTTGGTTAAGACCCAGACGATAATGCAAATGATAGCAGCTGCCAGAATCGCTCCAATTAATGCTCCAGCAACAACACCACTCTCTGAATCTGGAAAGAGGAAAAAAAAAAAGAGATGACTTGACTTTTAAAAAGGTATTATCATAGCAAAATCCCGTGGAAATTTAGAAGGAGCCTTTAGCAGAAAGAAGTCATTGGATTCAGAGAACTAAAAAGCTGACTGACAGCTGCATTTCCAGGAGGGAGGCCAAAGATTCTCTAGGAAAGAGAGATCTGTGCTTGTGTGACCTTTACTGCCTCCTTTCTTTCTGGATAGCTCCCTACCCCAACCAGCCCCATGTTTATGCCTGGCTTAGGAAAACAGGTTGTTAACACTGACAGTAGCTGAAAGCCTTTACTCTTCAGTCCTTCCAGACACATTGTGAAATTCAAGTTGCCGTTATCTCTGTCTTTCAGCTGAGATGTAAAATGTATGCTCTGATCGTTCGTGAGCCCTCAAAACCTTCTATTTTCACTTCAGTGCAACTTCTAGCTCTGACCTGCGATTTTCATTTTATAGACCACTGAATAATTGAGTGACCAGTCCAGGGACATCTCTCGTGGCTGGTTGTACGACGTATGTTTGGCTCTTGTTAAATGTTACTGGCTGCATGAAAATTCTGTGCGCAGCCTGCTTGAAAACAGACAGGACAAGGTTAATCACTGCTTGAGGGCAGTCAGAATAAGGTATTTCCCCATTACTGCAGTATTTTTAGCTATTGGTCACATCTTCAGTGCCCTAGTCCTTGTGCTACCATGTTTCAGTGATGCTTGTAAATTCTGGGGTGGGGGGACCTCAGCGGGACTGTTGGCTGGAAGGAGTTGCTCCAAACCACAAGTCTGTTGTTTCTCAGTGAAGCCTCTGTAGTCAGAGCTGGATTCAGCTCCTGCTTGCAGTGGGAATGAAGCTGGAGATACTAAATCAGTTGTGTAGGTCAGTGTAAATTCTGGGCATGCCTCCAGAGCTCTCCAAAGTCCGTTCTGCCCTTCTGTACTTCAAAAAGTTCTATTATTTGAAGTTGCTTGAAGCATTTTCCCACGAACCGTGCATGTCATACATCAAATATGTGATTAATGCATTAAACTTACGTTTTGCAGTTAGGTCAAGCTCACAGCTACTGTTCCCCAGGACATTGCTGGCTACGCACCGGTAATACCCAGTTTCAAAGGCGGTGAGATTGCCAATGTAAAGAATGCCATTGTTTGGATCTGTGACAAAGAGAGCGCAGGTACAGATTACTGCTCATATACTGTACAAGCAAAGAGTTTTCTTTAGTTGGTAATACTGAGGGCTATTCACAGACTAGAAACAGGGTCCTCCAATTATTCATTCGAGTTTTTATAGTTTTTAAATAAAATCATTTACCTTCCTTGAAAATTACTACAGTGGATTCTGCAGAGGTCTATTAGAACATGAGAAGTAGCCCCCTACTCTGCAGATCTGTCTGTCTGATGTTTTACCCACACTGATACTATTGTCAGTGTAACTTCACAAATGAAAATGGAACAGGTACTGAAGATTTTCACGATGGAGATCTCAGCACTGGAATGACAGATTGACTTAACTTGTTCTAAGTTCACTCAGAATTCCAAGAGGAGGAAGATGTAAAGGCATGAACATTCATCCCATTTTAATGATTTTAAAGTAGTGTCATAGACAAGACTTTAACACACCACACAATTTTTATTTAAACAAATGGAAAAAAAGTCCTGCGTTTGTGACAGCTAACAGTCAATTTGAATAAGTAAAAATACAATTTTGTGACACTGGCCATCAGAAGAGGAGCATGAGTTTTAACTACCCTGAGTGATACCCAGCGTTTGAAATGGCTGGTACTATGGAACTCCAGAGCTTGAACACAGTGTGGTAGTCCCGTAGCTACGTACTATGTTGTGCAGTCACAGGCTTGAGGGTATTCTCATCTACTTTGTACCAGCGGTAGCTAGGGTGAGGCAATCCTTCTTCACATTTGCATAAGAGGTAGATCAGATGGCCTTTTTCAGGTGTTCCTTCTATTTTGCAGAAAGGTCTTGATGGTTTGACTGTAAAATAGCAATGAGGAGAAGAGACGTGTGGTGAGTACATACCTGGGGCTGCAAGCACCTGCCTCAAGTTCTGGTGCTGCGCTGTTATAAGTAAAGAATTGAACCCCACCTACAGATTTTAATCTGAGAGCAGGGTCTATTTTGTGGATCTGACCAAAGATCTCCCGTAAAGATTTGAGTAAGATTAAATACATGTATGTGGCCTAGGATATGTTTTTATCTTTTCTTCCATGTGCATACTAAATATTGTTACGGAGGTGTTGAGATGAAGACTGTGTTACTTTAATTACAATGGGCCAATCACTATTTGTCATACACCCTTCTGCCACAGAGCAGCATCATTTTTCTTATGGACACAGCAGGAGCTTTTCCACTTAAAGGGAGAGGGTCAAGGCCTGATTTGGCAGTATATCACAGAATCACAGAATCCCAGAACGT